CCACGACCCTGGGATTAAGAGTCCCATGCTCTACCGACTGAGCTAACCGGGCGCGACTTGGAAAGAAAAACCAAAGTTGGACTTTCTCCCTCAATAAAATTCCAATGCGTCAGCGTCAACTCCGTGAGCAACTTGGGCGTTTTATAACACATGACACGCACAGAACTTTCGCCAGGTGGCGCCATTGCAATAGACAGAAGCGACATGCAGATAACGACTTGGTAATAACTATTATCACCATGCTAGCGCTAGCGTGCCTCTGATAATGTACTCGACTCCCCTATAGATAGATAATTGCGGACTGACAGAGATTAGCAGTCCTTTACCAGCTCCTTCTTCGAACTACCACGGCTTCAGTATCCGGAGCTCCGCCCATTATTCCAATCTAGAAAGGCTCTTCGTCAAGTTTGAGATGAAGCATAATTGATATTTCTTCTTTATATTGATATTTATAAATAAATATTGCATTTTATACATTCTCACCTTTATTTTACGCTAAGGATAATATCAAACACATATTACTAATCTTGTGGAAAAAAAACATCCGCGGTGTTTCCATCACACTGTTTGTTTACTCTCATTTACATATCGGTATAGCACAGAGCTTCTGTAGTTTACACTACACTAGTTAACTTCGCTCTGCCGTGCGCATGCATTGTTCGTGACTTATTATTTGCAAAGGCCGTTGTTGTTGGTTTGTTTATTCATCTATTTTTGTTAATCTTCTGTTTGGACACATGGGCAGTTTTACCCCTTAAAAATACCAAACATTTTGGCTTTGTCTGTAATGCCTCCACTTCAAGGTGAAATGATGCAAGATTTGATCGGGGAGTACTTTTTGACTATACCCCATGACTAGGCTTGTGTGTTTGCGTGCATGTGACGTTTGCTTACGGCACGTATACAATATACTATCAATATTTAGCGCTTCGAAGTTGAATGCGAGTCTATTTTTTTTAGGGATGGCAGTCACATGCCATGACGTCAGAGACTGGTGACGTACACGTTGGTTGACCGATTAGCCTCGTTCTGATGCGCAGGTTGAACTTGATCTGACGCGCCACACAATTTACCCATAATTCTCAGATCGGGACGTGCGTGACGTGCTAAACGTGTGCCGTTTCAGAAGCGAGG